AGGATTTCAAAATTGAATATGAAAGGAAGCCACTGAAGGGATGGAGAATGTACATTATTTGATACCTTTCTTTTTTTAAATGCTGTGCCTGCTACTATGTGGAGAATAGACAAAGCAAAGTGGAACCAGGGGACTTGGTTAAGTCTTGGACTGGAGTAACGGTAGTGAAGCTGGAGAGATACAGATTAGAGATATATTTCTGAGGTAGAGTCAAACGTGGCTTGATAAGGGAAGTTAGGGGGTGGTTCTCAGACTATTTATTAGCTTAACCTACTGACTGGGCCATGGGAGTGCTGTTTATTGAAATGGTAACTATTAGAGATCAAGAACTCAACTCTGCACTTGCTCAATTTAAGATGCCTATGTCTCATCCAAATGAGGCAATCAAAAAGGCAAGTTGGATATAGACCTCTAGATTTTAGGAGAGAATGTCAGCTACAGAAATCTAACTTAAGATTGCTGTGGAAAAGAAACTACCGCACCAGGCTGGGGTTTGTGGTGGCTGACCCCTGCCTGTGGTGCCTCTGACCCGCCAGTCCCTGGTTCTACAGACTGTATTCTATAAAAATGTATTCCGTCTATTATTATTCTGAGGCCAAGTGACCATGCACCTGCTCTCTTTTATGAATGGGGGGAAAACCACCCTAAGTCTAAAGCCAACAGTTTATTTTAAGCAAAGACACAAAGCTGTACACACAGTAGCCAGATACAGTGGGAAGACCTCTCTGACTTAAGTCAGAACAGTTACGGTTTTACACTGCAGTGGGTTTGATGATTTATCTTTTTATTGGTGACAGGCAAAGCTGTGGTGTTCAATCCTTTGAAAAGTACCCTGTTGTATGAAACTGGCAGTCTAGATATGTCTGTCAGTAATCAATCAAAAGCTTGAATTTCTGGATCTGTGCCAGCCAACATTATCGTATTGGCACTGCTATGAAACAGCTGAGCCTTTTAAAGGAGTGCAACTGCAGGTTTCTACAAGAGCACGCTGCCCTCCTTATCAGGAGGGCATCGCTTGCTGAATGGAAAATGTGATTTTTATATGTAAGTACTTGGATATAAAAACGTCATTGGCGAGCTGCAGCTGAGCCCTCTCTCCTTGCTGCCCTCATCTCTCCTGGGCACCTCTCTACCCTACTACTTGCCGTGGGGTTTCCTTCTGCATGAAACAAGGGCCAATCTGCTCATCATGGCATCCAGGCACATGGTTGCCATTTGTTATGAAACAAATGAGGAAACATACATAATTTTCCACTGCCGCGTGAACTTTAGTTTGCTCAAAGTGATTTGTCCAGGGTCAACATAATAGACTTTTGTCATCCTTTTTGTCTGCTAGCATCTGAACTTCCTTCCTACATTTGGAAATTCCCCATTTTATAAGCTTGTTGGGAATGAGAGCGAGCCCTTCACTACAGAAGCTGAAATCCAGATACTGTCTCTGCTTCTCCATGTGACGCTACAAATGAAATGTTCCCTGGACTTCAAATAGGTAGCCAGAGACACAGTGAAGTACCCATGGAATAATTCATTGGTGACCACGGCAAAGGCAGCAAGATGAAGTTCTCAGAGCAATGCCGGCCGCCATGATAGCCCAGGCTTCTGTGCGTGTGGCTTTAGTAATAAATAGTGGCATCTGAGCCTCAGCAGAGATGATGTCCTCACTGCCGCAGGTTGTGTGGAGTGGCCATGTGACAAAGGATGACATTCTAGCTGTCTAGCATCCAAGCCTGATTCTCTAGGCCTCCTGCTGATGCAAAACTACCTGTAATTCTTTTAAGAAATTCATTTTCTCCTTAAATCTACCGAAGCTAGATTTTGGCATAAGTAAAAAATCTGACTCACATAATCACTTAATAGCAGAGCTGAAGCTCTAACCCAGGACTTTGAACTACTAACTCCAGTGTCCCTCTCAACATACAGATCTCTCCTCTCCAACAACCCACATTTTCACATACACATATCTCTCAATCACCTTTTGTTCACCGAAGTATGCTTTTAATGTCAGTTAATATTTCAGGCATCCCAGTGGGACATTGTTCCAAATGCAACAGTATCATTGTCTGTGTAGCCGTTTACATAATATTAACTTTATCTTTGCATATGAAAATACTAATGTGACTGAGAAAGGAAAATTATCAGACCTGCTTAAGGTAGATCTTGGGCATCAGTAGAATGCTTATTGGACTAAAGCCAGCTGCTTTACAAACTTAAGGGCATTTCATAACTGCAAACATTTTATCAGATATTATTTAAAACACAAAGTGATTTTGTAATGTTTTCACGTCTCAATAACAAGTCTGTTCAATTTTTGTAGATCTGATTTCTATATAAACCTTTATGAACTTGCACAAAAATAGGCAAAAGGCACCAATATATGTGTCTGTGATATTGAATGCCTGCAAATAGCAGGTAAGTAACAACTGTTCATGTCTCCCTGTGATGTACATACAGAGTAAGGAAAAGCCCTAATGCTTTATTTCCGATTTATCATTGTAGCCTTTAAAAAAAAATAGGTTAAGGTTGTTCTTGTGTAATGAAATCTGGAAATGCAGTACACACCATAACCAGCAGATGTCAGGAAGGGGTCTATCTCTTAAGACTAAAGATAGAAGATAGGGCAGGAGTTTCTGCAAGGACTGAAGGTTCTCTTGTGCTCAACTCACCCCAATTACAATGGCCTTCTTTATTCCTAAAACACTTTTGCTTTTACACTTTTTCAAAGGCTCCCCACTCTTTTATCAGGCAAATTCCTAGTCATTCAAATCCTGCTCTAATATTACTTCCACAGGGAGCCCTGCCTGCTCCCCTTCAACACAATAGGTTAGGGCCTCCCTGTGCCATGTCTTGGTTACCTGTATTTCCCTCTCCTAGCAGTTTATGTAATATAATAAATTACCGATGACATTGTCATGTCTGACTCCCCTGCTGGACTGTAAATCTCTTAAAAGTACGTACCATGACTGAATTCTTCTCTGCTGTACCCCTCACCCACCACAGTATCTGGCCCTCCGCAGTCACTGATAATGTCTGTGAAAGTAAACACCTCTACCAAATATTCCCAGATTGGGGATATTTTTCTGAGGTCTGGACTACAGGTAGTACCTGGAAAGTCAGTATTTTTTTTACCTTCAACTCAGCAATCTTTGCACTCAGCCCCTTCTTTGTAAAGATATTACATGGGACAGTAATGTGTGAGACCCTACCTGCATTCAAGTAGTTAGAAGTGACAAGACTTCCCCCCAGAGTGGCGATCTCCACTTCAGAGCATCCTCGGGCAGACTCTGTACCAGACTCCCTCCAGTGAAGGGGAGCAGCCTCCACGGCCCAGTCCAGCTTGGTCACCGCAGCTGTGAGCTCATGAAGGAACCTTCCTTCGCTTTCCAGACATTCACCCTATCTGCCTTCTGGGACAATTATTCTTTGACATGACAACCCACTCACTTATTAAAAACAGCTTTCAGACTCCGACCATAGGTATTCTTAAGACTAAGCACCTTGTATTTTTTAAAATGACTTCCTAGTGGCATGGTTTCCAGACTCTTGAAGTACTCTAACTACCGAACTCTACTCTGGCAAGTTGGCTACTGAAGCATCTGTCAGACCTGGAGACCCTAATGTTGTCATTTCATTACTGCAATCTAAAGTCGCTTTCATTTGTTAGTTTTATTTGATTCTAATTCTGAAACTAGTCTAGAATTTCAGAATTGGAAGGCACCTTATAGTTTACTGGTTAATCAAAACAGATCCTGGGCCAATTAAATTACTTGGACACTTAAAAAAAAAAAAAAAAGATTCCTGGACTCCATTCAGCACCATTCTGATCTGGTATGTCTTTTGTTTAATTTTTCCCACGATTTGGTGTGCAGCTTGTTTTGGAAGGTAGCTCTGAACAAGATGCCTGACACAGCCTTATGCAACAAATGAACAGTGTTCTTTTCCCCACTGTACTCGAACCTCACCTGTGACAGGTAGCCCACTACAAAGAAAACTCTGTGCACGAGAAGCCTTCCAACCATCCCTAGTATGCATGTTATCCCCACGTACGTACGTCCAGCATGGGAAAAGGTGAAAAGGAATTCCCAGGATGATGGTGAAGAAAGATCCCAGAACACAGCCATACATAAGGCATAAGACTGTGCGTCTAGACTGGAGCAGGTCAGAAAGCCCCAGGAAAAACGTACTTAGTAAGATGAAACAGAGTATATAATGAAACTGAATACTGTGAGCAATTTAGACAAATGGCAAAAAGTTTAATTGACTTAATGGTAAATTAATAGAAAACTAAGCCTAGGAAAAACGAAAAGATGTGTAAGAAATGAAAACAAACAGCACCTGGAGTTCTAATGAAATTAAACTAATAAAAACCACGTAAATAAATACATTGGAAGAAAGAAGAGATGTGGGAATAATGGAAGAAAAGAGACCTAAGTCCTTACAGATGTGGATAAGCCAATAGACAATGTCTTAAAACAGAAAAATCATAAAGGAACAATACAGTCGTGCTATTCAGAGGCACGAGGTAAACACCAATTTGATTAGCGAAAGAGAGGCGAGTGTATTTGCACTGCCTTTGGGAAGAAGATTAAAGACTGACCCCTTCCCCGACAAACCTGGAGGACAATCTGACATATTACATATTTCAGCATCAAACAGAAACAATGCCTTTCATGGAGGCTGCTTAACAGTAAAACAATGTCGCTTGATCAGGATCAGCAAATTCTAAAACAAGGTGAACTCAGTTTCATGCAGTTGTAATAATCACAAGATTGTAGCCTCACCAGTGATTGTTGATTTGCAGCAAAAAGTGGGTGAAGAAGAAAAAACCCCAATTTTTCTTAATTGGTACATTTATTAAAAATATAGACGAATGGTCCTGTGCTTAAATGTCATTGCAGCTGTGTTCTGGCTTCCGTAAACATAACTAGTCATGAGGAGTTCTTCAGTGAACGCATTCCAGACAGACGTAAAAAGGTCAACAGAAATGACTGACAACACAGGGCTATTGCAGACGAAATTCTCTTATATAATTAATACTCGCTAGAAAATGGAATTTGACATTATTTACAATTACAGCAACATTCATGGAAGCTGGATATCACAGGCATAAGAAATGTCTTTTCATACTTCCCAAACAGTTTTCTGTTTTCGCTATGAAGGTCAGTTACCACAACCAAACTTGTTATTATGAAGCGGAAGTTTTATGTCCACTCAGTCAGAGTCTCTTACATCTTTCTGGGCCCATCCATTTGCAGATTCATTTGCAGAGCAGACACTGTAACCAGGTTCTTCGTATCATGCATTCACATGTGATGTCCAATCTTTATATGCTGTCCAATTTCTTTAAGATAAAAGGAGCTGAAAAGAGAATTTGTTTTGATTAGCTCATAAGTGACATTATGAAACTCTGAGATTGGGGATAAATCTTCCAGGTTTAAATCAATACATTTTTTGAAAGCAACTCCAAGTGGTGGCCAAGCCTCTGCCTGCACAACCCGGCAAAAGGGACACAGTCTTTCTAGGCGGCCCCCTCCAGTGTCATGCAGCTGTAACCATCAGAGTTCACTCATACGTTACACAAAATCTTTTCTCCAAGTAGTTCTCCCTTAGGGCTGCAAAGAGTAAATCCAAACCTCTCCCAAATGATAATCCTTTACTCTTGTGATTTAACTGTCAAAGGCACAAAACATGAGAAGACACAAATCATCATTTTTTACCTTTAAGAATGCATTTCAAAGGCAGAGGGTGAGAGTGGGGACACAATGAACTGGGGAACCAGAAGAGCCAGCACACATTGTGACCCCCCCACTGATTAGCTACATATCACCTGTGCCCTCCACATCACACATGATACGGCTCTACTTCAATTCTAGGGGCCTGTTAGGATGGGGTAGATAAAAATGTCTAGAAAACTAGAAAGTGTTGTCCCAAGTATGGAAAGAAGTGATATCATTATTGTCCTATGTAAAAGTTGCTATGGCCAAAATAAGCCCATGAAAAGATGCTCAAGATCACTTAACAGCGCAATGCAAATTAAAACTGTAAGGAGATACCTACTGGATAGCTGCTACCAAAAAACTGGTGGCAAGGATGTGGAAAAATGAGAACCTTTGTGGTCACTGTCCGTGGGAGTGTAAAATGGTACAGATGCTGTGAAACACAGAATGGTGGTTCCTCAAAAAATTAGAGAGAGAGATGTCTGTACATCAATGTTCACAGCAGCATTACTCACAGAAGCTAAATCACAGAAGCAACCCAAGTGTCCAAAGATGGCTGAATGGATAAACAAAATATGGTTTACAGTGGAATATCATTCAGCCTTAAAAAGGAAGTGCTGACATATGCTACAACATGGGATGAACCTTAGGATATATCATGCTAAGTTAAATAAGCCTGTTACATAAAAAGACAAAATTCCACGCATATGGGTACTTAAAGTTCTGAAGGTAGATGACGCTGATAGTTGCACAATATTGTAAATATATTTAATAAACACTACACTGTACATTTAAAAAGTTAAGATCATAAATTTTATGTGCATTTTACTGTAACTTTAAAAATCGGGGGAAAAAGCCACAACAAAAAGCTGCCGGAATCTTTTTGTCAATACTCATACTAAATTAATAAAACATTTTGTTAATATCAAACTGAAGATATTGAGATCTGCCAGAAAATAACAATCTGCAGCATGTCCAGCATTTTCTACTATTCCTTTTTTTTTTTTTTTGAGGTTTTATTTATTTTTAGAGAGGGAATGGGAGGGAGAAACATCCACGTGTGGTTGCCTCTCAAGCGCCCCCTACTGGGGACCTGGCCAGTAACCAGGCATGTGCCCTGACTGGGAACTGAACTAGTGACCCTCTGGTTCACAGGCCGGTGCTCAATCCACTGAGCCACACCAGCCAGGGTTCTACTAATTCTTATCAGAAAAAAAATCAAAAGAATGCATAAACAAAATGTGGTATAACCATACAGTGGACTATTATCCAGTAATGACTAGGAAGGGAATATCAATAAAAGGAATAAAAATACATGCTGCAATATGTATGAACCTTGAAAACATTATGCAATGGGAAATAAGCTGGACACAAAAGGTTACATGTTGCAGATCAGTGGTTGTCAAGGGCTGGGGCAGGTAGAAATGGGGTTTGACAGCTAAGGGCATGAGTTCCTTTTAAAGGGAAAGAATATGTTCTAAAATAGATTATGCAGATGGCTGCACAAATCGACTATACTAAGAAACCACTGAATTGTACATTGTAAAATGGGTTTGTGGCACAATGTGTGAATTGTATCTCAATCAAAAAATGAAAATACAAAACAGTATTCTCTGTCTTTTTTTAAAAAAAAAACAATTTATATCAAATACAAAGCTCACTGAGAGGCAAATATTTTACTGGCAGCTAAGTCAACAAAACATGGTAAGTGGAGGAAATAGGTTGGAAGTTGCTAAAAGCTGTTGAAAAAACAGGATGATTGGGAGTTCTGTTTACCAGGACTCCCTCTTCCAAGGAAACAGTACAATACCACAGGCAGTTAAGGGGGCACTGAGGGAGACCTGCCCTCAGTGAGCTCTGGCCTAGGCCCAACATGAGTTTCTACAGGATGAACTTGGTATGGCCTTCATTTACTTAATCGTCCTGCCTCTACATTCAGACCTGCCAGCAATACACAACGAGGGGTGATGAAGAGTACTGAACTGAGAACGAGATGAGGGGCAAGTCACTTCTGAGATTCATATCTAAAACTAGCTCTAATATTCAGTGTGCCTGCAACTCCTATCTTGCGTAAGTCCCCTTTGAAGGTCAAGTTCAAATTAACAAATGGGACATACAGAATCTTAGGCCCAGCCTCCATCAAAGGACTATAGTCAAGATCAGGTAATGAACGTAAGTTTCTGCCGAACGTAAAACCAAATAAACCCTCGGGTATCATCATTAAACTCCATAGATGCATACCCGTTTCTTCTCACTTTTCCCCCCAAAGCAATTTTTAGTTTACCCACTGTACAAATGCAATTTTTTGGATTACAAAGGTCAGCATTAAAGTAAGGAAACGTGGTATTGCGTTAAGCGGTCTGGATTCCAGGTCAAGATCGTGCACTGCACTGCTCAATGACCTTGAGCCAGCCATTCCTCTACTGTAAATCTCAGTTTCTGCCGGCAAAACGAGGGAACTGCTATGGGTTATAACCCTTATGGGTCTGCTTCAAGTACTCTTAAGGCAAGGCGAGGCCCGACGGTTAACCACGCAGTCCCCCGCCACCACGTGCAGCTCAGTCTCCCCACTCTGATCCGCAGGCTCGAAGGCGCGCATGCACCCGCTGCCCTCGACGCGCCTGCCCCCGCCTCCCTGCGATCGCTCAGCTCAGCTCAACTCAACAGCCCCCATAGCCCATAGTTCCAGAGCTGGGTGGTCGGTGTCGGCAGGTTCCCTGCCGGTCTCCCGGTTACAGTCTGGAAGGACACTCACTGACTCGCAGCAGGGCCACATAGATAAGGAAGTTCCGTATGGAGGAAATCACATCCTCGCGCATCTTTCGTTTCATTTCCTCGGGGTCCAGCTTCGGCGCGAGGCCCTCAATACGAAACATCGCAGCGATGCCACACTAGACTCCAACTGCCGCGCTCTGCTCGTCTCAGCCGTACCCTAGCGCCCGGAAGTAGGCTCAACCCCATTTCCGGTTTCCGCCTCCCCCGTATTTGAGTGCTGCAACCGGAGCTTGCGAGGGACAATCCTCACCCTAACCTGGAGGTTTTCAGGAGAGCTGCCGGAAGGGGGCGGCCACGATCTTAGCAGCGCAGGACTGGGTTCCTCCAGTCTGTGTATTTAAAAACCTCCTTGTTGAGCTGCGAGCGCTACGCTGTGAAGTACTTTTATTCCCCGGAGGGGGCGGTGCACTTAGGTGCCACCATAAATAGTGATGATGGCTAACATTTATTGAGTACTGAGTACAACCCTGCCCTATGAATTAGATGTTATAATCTTCATTTCCTAGATGAGAAAATGGAAGCACAGAATCTTGAAAACAGCAATTTGCCCAAGTGTGCTTTAAAATACCTTGGAAAAAAAGTTTGAGGAGGAAAGATGAAATGATATTAGCAAAATATTGAAAACTGCTTAAGCCGGTGCTTAGTACATTATTAAAATTATTTTTTCTTTCTATTTTGAGTGTTCAAAATTTTTCATGAAAAGTTAAAACAAAAAAGTGAAGATAATGAAACTTGCTCAAGATTACACAACTAATAGTTGCAGAGCAGTGTTTTATATCTTACTTAAGCCTGTGGGACCCCAAGGGCAAGAGTTTTGTGTGTTTTTTAAAAATTATCCATATAGTTGCTGTAGCTTCATTTCTGAAGTTAACTGAGCCTTACAAATTATATTTGTCTAGTAATATACTATATATATAAAGCAAGTTCAAATCTGTTTAACTGTTTACAGATGATAAGAGGGAGGCTCAGAAACCAAGTGCTCTGCTTAAAGGCGTTCTGCTAGTGAGGGGCACATGCGGGGTTCTGATGCAGATAATCGTAATGTCAAGCTGAAATCTCTTTTCCCCTGCGCCCTACTGCTCCTCCGTTAGTCTTTACCAGTTAGAGCCTGCCTGGAGGGGCATCACTGGAGTCAGAAGGTGGGAGTTTAATGCAACTGGACTTCCTGTCGCAGAATCATCAAAACAGTGCTGCCCCAAATTATGCTTGCCAACTAACCATATATAATTCTTAGGCAGGAACCAGATGATTGAATTGCTCACATAATTCAAAACCAGAATAAAATGTTCCTTTCTTTACTGCACATTGCATAGCAACAATGGATTTCAGAAAAATTAGAATAGTAATTTACCATGGAAGCAACTGATAACTGTAAGAATTGCCACCCACCTTCCTCATTAACAGAATGTAAGACATGGGGGTAAGAAAGGAAACACGTCTGCATATTCAAGCTTTAGAAACCTACTGCATCTATAATTCATACAGTGGAATAGCAGAGGCAGCTCTGGAATGGGAGGGGCTGACTGCTAAGGAACAGCCTCCATCTAACCCTTGGAGAGTGTTTAGAAAGCCTGCACCGAGGCTGGAAAGCAGCAGGTGCCTTGGAAAGAACTGGGACAGGAAGATTGGAGACATGGCCTCTGGATCTGGCACTGCCACTATCTTGCCACGTGACAAGGGACTGCAACTTCGTTTCTTAGGTTGTAAAGGAGGAAGATATGATTAAATGCTCGTAGAGTCCCGTTCGATTCTAACCAGGAATGCAATTTGAATTCTAGGACATTCTGGTCTGGAGTGTGCAGATAATCAAAATATTATCGACTGTGGCGAGATATCAAAACAACCAGTGTGTGTGTTTTCAATGGTAGGAAGAATGTAACAATAAGGCATATCTCATCCATCTGAATAGTGAGGCAAAATGGATTGGCAAGGGATGAGTTATGGGATTCCAGAAACCTCGATCTCATCTGCTGGCCAAGTTTAGATAAACATTTCTCATACAGAACTATCAGCTGGGTTTTTTAAAAAAGATTTTATTTATTTATTTTTAGAGAAGGGAAGAGAGGGAGAGAGAGAGAGAAACACTGATGTGTAGTTGCTTCTCATATGCCTCCTACTGGGGGCCTGGCCCGCAACCCAGGCACATGCCCTGACTGGGAATTGAACCATTGACCCTTTGGTTCACAGGCTAGCTCAATCCACTGAGCCACACCAGCCAGGGCTCAGGTTATTTTTTTAAATTATACTTTATTGATTATGCTATTAGACTTGTCCTGATTTTTCTCCTTTGCCCCCTCCACTCAGCACTTCCTCCTCTCTCAGGCAATCCCCCCACCATTGTTCATGTCCATGAGTCATGTGCATAAATTCTTTGGCTACTCCATTTCCTGTGCTGTACTTTACATCCCCATGGCGGTTCTGTAACTTCCTACTTGTACTTCTTAATCCCCTCACCTCTTATCCCATTCCCCCACACTACCTTCTCATCTGGCGACCATCAAAACACTCTCTGTATGCGTGATTCTGTCTCTATTTTTCTTGTTTGCTTAGTTTGTTTTTAAGACTCAATTGTTGATAGATATGTAGTTTTGCCATTTTTATTGTTCATAATTTTGATAATCTTTTTCTTAAATAAGTCCCTTTAATATTTCATATAGTACTGGTTTGGTAATGAACTCCTTTAGTGTTTTCTTGTGTGGGCTCTTTCTCTGCCTTTTGATTCTAGATGACAGCTTTGTCTACAGCCATACCACCCTGAACGCGCCCGATCTCGTCTAAATGACAGCTTTGCCGGGTAGAGCAATCTTGGCTGTAGTTCCCTGCTTTTTATGGCTTTGAATATTTTTTGCCATTCCTTTCTAGCCTGCAAAGTTTCATTTGAGAAATCAGCTGATAGTCTTATGGGAACTCCCCTGTAGGTAGCTAACTTCTTTTTTCTTGCTGCTTTCAAGATTCTCTGTTTACCTTTAACCTTTGGTATTTTAATTATGATGTGTCTTGGAGTGGGTCTCTTTCCATCCATCTTGTTTGGCACTCCCTGTGCTTCCTGGACTTGGATGTCTATTTCCTTTACCAAATTAGGGAAGTTTTCTTTCATCATTTTTTTCAAATTGATTTCCAATTTCTTGCTTTTTCTCTTCTCCTTCTGGTACCCCTATGATGCAAATGTTGAACCTCTTGAAGCTGTCCCAGAGGCTGCTTATACTATCCTCATTTTTTTTTTAATCCTTATTTTTTCTTGTTGTTCTGCTTGGTTGTTTTTTGGTTCCTTGTGTTCCAAATCATTGATGTGATTCTCAGCTTCATCCACTCTACTGTTGTTTTCCTGTAAATTGTTCTTTATTTCAATTAGTGAATCCTTCATTTCTGACTCTCTTTTTAATGCTGTTGAGGTCCTCTAATTCCTTGAGCATCCTTATAATCAGTGTTTTGAACTCTGCTTGTGATGGATTGGTTATCTACATTTCATTTAGCTCTTTTTCTGGAGTTTTGATCTGTTCTTTCATTTGGATCATGTTTCTTTGTTGCCTTGTTTTGGCAGCCTCCCTGTGTTTGTTTCTATATCTTAGGTAGAGTTGCTTTGACTCTATGTCTTGGTAGTGAGGACTAATGTAGTGGGTGTCCTATAGGGTCCAGTGGCACAACCTTCCCTATCACCTAAGCTGGGTACTCGAGGCGCACCCTTCGTGTGGGCTGAGTACATCCTCTTTTTATAGTTGAGTCTTGGTTGCTGTTGGCAGATCAATGGGAGGGATTACCCAGGCCAGTCATCTGCAAGGATTGGCTATGACCACTAACCACCAACCTTCACTATTCATGGAGTATCAGTTGAGTAAGGCAGAGTGGTGGTCCTCTGATGTTTTCTGTACCCGCTGGGTACACTGGCCCTTGGGTTTCCTGGGTGGTGCAGGGCAAGTTCAGCCCCTACCTGTGTTTTGCTCTGGACTATTCTGCCTGAACTACAAAGCAATATGAGATGGCTGCTACTTGTGCTGGGTTTGGAGATGCCCAGGCAAAGCCAAGCTGTGAATTTAGGTTGGTTGCTGCTAGTACCAGGCCTGGGGTTCACTGAGGCCAGCTGTTGTTTATTTGAGAAAATTTAGGAAGTTGTGTGGTATGAGCCAAGACCAGCCATTCATATGGAAAAGCAGCTAGGGTGGGCCTATAAGTTGGGTGGGGCGGAGTCTCTGGGGATCTCCAAGGTGGATCAAACAATGTTAGCTAGGTTGATGAAGTCTCAGCCTGCTGGCTCTCTGGCTCTGTGTTGGGAGGGCTCAGAAAAAGAACGATAGCCACTGTTTGCCCAGTGCCAGACGTTTCAGTCTTTCCCAGTATGCCACTGGTGTCCTTCAGGCTGCCACCCCAGTGCTAGAGTTCAGAGGAAGTGATCCGAATAGATGAGTCCCTGCATGCATTCTTTAAGGGGAATTGCTTGTGGCTCAAGCAATTTCTTCCGCTGACTCAATCCCGCTGGTTTTTGCAGCCAGAAGTTGTGTGGACTTATCTTCCTGGCACTGGAACCCTGGGCTGGAGGGTCTGGTGTGGGGCTGGGACTCCTCACTCCCAAGATATCCTCTGGATTTATATCTACTGCAGGTGGGTGTAGGGCCTGCCAGGTCCATGTCTGTGCCCCTCCTACCAGTCTGGATGAATGTCGTTTCTCTAGTTCCATAGTTGTCAGACTTCCACTCAACTCGATTTCTGACAGTTCTGAGTGATGGTTGTTCTGCATTTCAGTTACAATTTTGTCGTGTTTGTTTGAAGAGGTGAGCCATGTCTGCCTATGCTGCCATCTTGACTGGAAGTCTAGCCATTTTTTTTTCCTATTGAGATGCTTTTGAGTAACTTACTTGGATTCAATAAGAACCAAAGAGGGAGAAATTAGTAAAAAATCATGTTTCTTGGTGAAAAGAATAGATTTTTATCATTTAAATTTTATTCATTCAATGCTAAGCAGCACCTGTTTCATTGATAGGTGATGTGGTGGCAAATGGCTGGCCTATTAAATGGCAACAGTATCCTCATAGAAAGTTCTGGTGTTTGCCTGACTACCTGTAGAGAGACAGGAAGAAAGTGGGTGGAAATATAGAGCAGCTGTGTCTTCCTGTGAGGAATCAGTTCTGGATACAGTCTAGGAAGGTGAACTCTTCCTGTCTCCGAAATGTTCATCCTTCT